TGTTTTTCCCGACACATTGCTTCTCAAAGTGTGAATTTTTTAAGTGGTTTGGTGGACACAACCCCCCATTAAAAAAACTTAAGACAATAGTATGACACACAGGGAATTATACACGAATTAACTCAGTATTACGCTTTGGTTGAAGGCGTGTAAGGCATCCGGTTGCGTCTTTGTTTACACGAAACTTCATTGTTTCACGAATGGAACACCACACGACTAAAAAAACTTGTATTGAAAATTTAAAACAAAGAAAGCAAAATTGCGAACATTAGTCGTCGCAATTGTGCCCGAATTTACAAACTCGCAGAAATTTCTAGCCGCGTAATTTAAGTGGTTTACAGTACCTGACAACTGCTGTGATCTGCATGACCATGCTATTTTGAGAAGTTGTGAATGAGTCAAAAATACCTGGATCACAAGTAAAATGCACGATATCAGAGTTGTCATGTAGTAACTTCTTTTTCATACATTTCACAATCTATTTTCGTTTAACATGTGCAAGATTAGAGGAAATGTTGTATCTTTTTTGAGGGAAGTGAAATTTCAGAAATCTCCCCAAATGTTGGAGATGGGCATGAATGCTAAGTTGGATGACTACAGTAATAACAATTTTTTAAAAATATTATAATAACTTGAAATAACTTGATTGTGGTTTGGATATAGCCATGTGATTAATCAAATATCTGGGAAGGGAACACAAATTTATAACATAACATTCATAATATGGTGTAGTATTTCAATTCTGTTCTGTTTCTAACCTCCACAAACTGCAACATTTTTTATAACTTGTTCTCAGTCAACCATCGAACACCAAAATTAACATGCTAAGTACCGGTACTCAAAGCCAGCCCATCCCTCCAACCTGTATCTCATTTCAAAATTAACATACACCAACCATAGGTGGGACAAATTAAAGCTGAGTTTGTTACTATTTACATTGCAGCAAGGCAACCATCATCAAGAAGCGGTGGGAAGTCATGAATATCGTCACCATGACTACCACTCTCCACATTTACCTATGACATCATTACACAAACCTTATGATTTATATGACACAGCATCGCCAGAAAGTAGTCCCAAAGTCAAGAGGAAAACATCACCCAAGCTTTCATCATCACCCAAATCATCACCAAAGAGATCACCAAAATATAAAAAGAAATCAAAACTTAAAACAGAAAGGTAAATATAATGTCAATCTGTGATGTGAATAGTGAGTAGTCGAGTGATTTGCATGCGAGGGCGAGATAACCATGTGGCTTGCATGTGAATGCTGAGTAGTCATGTGACTTTTATGTGATTGCTGAATAGTCATGTGGATGCTGAATGGTCATGTGGATGCTGAGTAGTCATGTGGATGCTGAATAGCCATGTGGATGCTGAGTAGCCATGTGGACGCTGAGTAGTCATGTGACTTGCATGTGAGTACTGAGTAGTCATGGTATTTGCAAG